ACGGGGGCGGCGGGGGGACAGGATCGCCCGGCCGGCGGGCGGCAGAGGTAAGGGGAGAGGCCGGGCTCCTAATTCCCCGTCTCCTGGCGTCAGCCGTTTGGCACGCTGGTGATCAGTTCATTTGTAAAAGGCGTCTCAGGTGTTAGTTTTCTTTCTTGTCGCCGTTACTCAGCCAGGTCCTAAAATGCAGGTGTGGGGCCGCAGGGTGTTTTGTGGGGTTTCGCTTGAAATGTGCGCTGGCGTTAACTGCACGCGTTTCCATCCGCGAGGAAGAAGGAAAGAAGTTCGTTGCCTTCACCTCTCGTGGCTCTCATCAGTGAGGCTACATCCCAAATTTTCCAAGCATATCTTCTTTATTGCGGAGTGCAGTTGTTGCTCTATGTAGTTTATAATAAATCTTTTGCTCTATTTTTAGCTCTCATTTGGAGGAGGGGGGGGGAACCATCGCAAATTCAATATTCGGTAAGGCAGTAACTAAAGTTAGAAAAATAGGCTGCAGAGTCACGGTGGCACTATCACAGGAAGGATGCTAGTTTTCTTCCTGGAAAGAGAAAGATTAGATACCAATGGTTTGACATAAAAATAAGTGTGACTCATACATACGTTATGTTTCTCCCATTTACATGGGTTGATCTCAAAAAAAAAAAAAAGATACTACCTGTGCCTGTAAAGCTAACTGTGCTTATGTCCTCTGAGTATTGATGTCAAAGCTGTTGTCAGTATGTACTAAAACATCTCTAACTTAATGCCAATGCAAGACACTTTTTACTGGTTCATAGGTCAAGAGGAAGTTGCTTTTAAAAAGAACATGGAGAGATGCCTATTGAGTAGGAGAATAGCTGCAAAGGACTTCAGAGTGCGTATCTGCTAGATCCAGCCTTAGCGCTGGGATCCCGCTCCTTGTTTAAATCTCTCTTGTCTTCCCACTAGCTGGCAGGCACAGTCTATGATTTCAGTCAAACCTTTGCAGGATCGGATTCTCTCTTCCTGCTTCAATGTCATTGACCTCAATGAAACTGCACCAATCTGATCTTAGTACACAAAATATTCTCCTCCTTTCCTGGCATCCAGATAACTCCCCAGAAAGTGTGATTCAAAATCCAAACTGTGATCTCAGCATTTTCTGCAATTGTGTTCTATTCCCAGTGGTCTTCTGGCCCCATCTGTAATAAAAAAATATTTATATATCTCCTAGGCTTAGAGGTTAAGTGAAAATTTCCACATACTAACTCCAGAACAAACAAGCATACATCCTATTCTTTTGTCAGAATAAGTGTATTCACATAAACATACTTGCTATCTTATGACAATGTAATGGGTAAAAAGTGGCTAAGTAGCCCAGCTGACTATGGGACCAAGGGGACAGATAACAAAGTATCTGATCCTGGTTTGTTGTGTAATAAACTCTTTCACTAGCATGGTCAAACAACCGAAAGAATTTGATGCCGTGGTATTACTGAAGTGTAATTGCAGGTGCACACCTGACTTTCTGACAGTTCTCACCTTCGTTTCTCTAGTATTGATACTACTTGTATCTGCCTGTTGTTCGTAGAAAGAGAATACTGTTAGAGTGAATTAGGAAACGTTCCTAGGATGCTTGTAAAATACAAAGATTACAGCTATTATTTTCTTCGAGTGAAAATAGCTATGTATTGGTTCATGCAGCTCATGCTGTGACAGCATTTAGGTCCAAATTCTGAAGACAGACAACCAATTGCCAACCAACATCATGAAATATTTTTAAAGGACACATTCCCAGACTGTGATTTTACATATTCCACATCCAAGACATTATCAAAGGCTTGGTTTAACCTTCTTAAAGCCAAATGTTACTGAACGGGCAGAATCACTCTTAAATGATTCATGTCACTAGCAGGTATTGTATTGTGTACAGCCCATGAAAAATCAGTGCTCTTTTTCCAAGTAACCAGCAAATCAAGCTATCAAGCAACGCAGGACAGGTACCTTCGTATACTTCAGTTAACGCTTTGTGCCATTTAAATAACCCTAAGGAGTTGCAGACATCACTTACCTGGTTTAGCAAGGTTTACAAGTACTTGGCGTCACTGACATGATATAAAGAACCTGAAGCATACTGGTTGATCTAGGCCGGTGTCTTCTGCTCAGATGTCATCATCTGCTTCTTGATGAGATTTCAGTATAATCATCATTAATAATTTAGGATACTTTACTAAATTTTATGAGTCTTTAATTCACATTTACTTTCATGTCTGAGTATAACTTTACAATTTATTCCTATTTGTATCTTTCAATATCCTTACTGGGACGGTGTCGGTATATGTTTGTGCTTGTTTTGTAGTGGTTGACAATGATGCAGGTTAGAAAAAAAGAGGACTCCCATTCTAACTAGTAGACAGGGTTCCTTCTGTTACTCCATTTCATTTATTTGCTGCATTTCTGAAGTGCAAAATAAAAGCATGCTGTTTCCCTACTTACTTGGAGAAGCCAAGGACGCATATATTAATTAAACAATTTAAAAATATATGTAATTTAAAGAACAGCAAACCCCCTAATTGGGGGATTAACAAGCTTCCTTACTTGTCCTCCTCAGTGTTTGGAAAGAACACAGACTGCATTTGTGGATCAACCTAGAATAACTAACTCTGAAAGATTTGACCTAAGATTTTTTTTGTTGTTGTGGTGATGGTTTTTACTTTTAAACAGCCCTATATTATCATCCCCATAGTAAAACTTATATGGATTCTGTGGTATTTCAGTGCTTTTGTTTTCCAATTTGGCCTTGATTTTCTGATTTGATAAGTGAACCGATTCACGCCTCCTGGAGGTCCATCCACTGCCATTTCCCATTATCTGGTGGCACACTCATTGTCACCAGGGAAGTTCACTGGCCTTTGCTGTGACCTTCCCTGAGCAGAGCTCTTTTTTCTCTGTCAGGCTTTTCATGTCACTTTCTAGCTGCCTGTCCCCGTGTGTCACAGACAAACGCACACAGAGGTGCATGAGTCAGAGATTTTAGAGCCCATTCATGATCCTTGATTTATGTCAATGCTGTCCACCCAACTTCTCCAAAGTGATGCAAGGCTGGGAGCGGGTGAGCTTAGCAAACAAGGGCAGGAGGAGAGGTCAGCAATGTCTCATGGGTCAGATAGCTGCTGCAAAAAAGCTAGAGCAGCTGGCAACTAAGACAGCTGCTGGTTAGGAAGAAAATGGCCACTGAATTTGACATTACTTAATTAAGAGAGTGCCTTAGCTCATGTTCCCCCTCTTCACTTTGCTTCTGTACATTGCAGTAGTGGGGGTTGGGCGATCACACTTTCCCAGTGAAGCTCTTGGGTATAGTAGCTGTCTTCTGTTCAGGCTCATTGAAGACACAATTAAATGCCTCTTTGTTTAGCGATAGCTGAAACAATGCAAAAATACCACCCAGGAGCTAGACCACATGCAAATGTGCACTATTATGGCTTGGCCAGATGGTACGGGCGCTTACTGAGATTCTCGTACCAAATGCAACAGTTACGTAGGTTGTGTGTGTCTGTATGTGCATGTAAAAAAGAGAAACTGCAAAACCTTCACAAATGCACGCAAAGACAAATGTCCTAAAGATGGCCACAAAAAAATATGTAGCATGATCTTAAAAAATAAGAGTGAAAGAGAGCCCTTGTAGGAGACAGTACCCAGAAGAAAAGACAAAGCTGTGGTCAAAGCAAAATAGTCTTACTATGGCCAGAGGAAAAAAAGACTTTATAAAGATCCTTTGTAAATTAACAGAGTTGCATTAAAGAAATACCTGTCTCCATTTTTCCTCTTTAAAGAAAAATGATGCGGGATTTCAAAGTCTGTCTAATTCTGTAAGTCAAAAGAGGTTGCAATACATTCTAAGTCCCTGCGTTGCTCTTATTCCTTCCATTGGTGGAGGTACAAACTAAACTACTGCAAGGCCCACTACAGCCACAGTTCAGACTGGAGCAGGCTTACTCAAAGCTAATTCCAAGCGTGCTTTCTCTAGTTGTGGTGGAAAGGAAGATCCTGCACATTCCTTTGTTTTGCTTGTTCAAGCCGTGCTGCCTCTTGCAGCATATGTATTAATATAGTGGATCAAAATTTCTGCTAAGATTTAAGAACGATTCTCTCTGAATTCAAGAACACTATTCCGGTATCCAAGAATCAGCATTTTCCAATATATGCATATGAAACTGGTTGTTTATCGTGGGACAGAACAAAGGAAAACAAGCTGCATCTTTTTAAACAAAACGGTTTTTTATAAAAAGCATTCCTATTTAATCAATAAGTTGCAAGCTTTAAAGAGAGAAACTCCACCACTTGTAATATTTGAAAGAATCCATGAACGTGTCTTGAGGTGATAAAAATTTTTATTCTTTCCTATGGAAACACAATAAAAGTCACAGAGTGAAGTTCTGGCCCAATGAATTCAGTGGGTATATTATTGATAGCAACAGGGATTTCACCCAGTTTTTGTCATCAAAGTCAAGGCCATAAAAAAATAGACTTAGTAGTACTAAAATACTAAGAGTATTTTGTTTCCACTTTAGATATCATGGACAATACTATGAGACATTAAAAATTCTTTTTATTTTCAGGTTTCAAAATCAAACTAAGACGATCAGATTTTTAATCACATAAAACACAATGATTCTAAAAGTGTTATATCACTGATGTGAGTGATCTGCTCCATTTCCACTCAAATCAGTGAGATACAGGTGTGCAGATCAATTAGAGCTTATACTTGCACACCTCTGGCTTTGATGCCGCACTTCGCAGAATGAAACAGATGTTCCTAACAACTACTTCAATTGACACTGAAAACTGATAGAGCTCTAAAGTGTGCGAGGATTACTGAAGAAGAGATATTCAACCTTTCTTTACCTCAGACCCTTCTTTTTTTCCACTGTAACTTCAAAAGGTGTGATTTTGTGGATGTATCCATGATACCTCTGTCTTCTATCTTGATTTTCCTTTTAGTTAGCTTGAAGATGATGTCACTTGCAAGGCAGCCACATCACTTCTGAGGATCTTGCTTATGTGTGTCAGTGACTCAAAGGAAAGATTACAGTAGCTCATAATCCTCTCAGTGCTATTATAAGTTTTTTGATAACTTCTGATGTCATCTTTAGAGGCTTTGTGCCTCTGTAACTCAACAAATCAAAGAAAAACATGTACCAAATCACAACACATGCTTACTTCCTATTTGCGTGGTAATAAGGTAGGCCAGGTTCTGAACTCAGATGTACTATATTCGTCTAACTTCTTAAATGTTGTTAGTAAGCATACCTATCTTATAGGGGACTTCATGCTGTTACCCCTGTGTTGCATAAGAAAAATGAAATAGCCACATGCTAGATGACATTCAGTATCATTTGGTGGTTAACATTCATTCACAGTTCTTCTCAGTAAAATGACATTCAAAGCTATAAAATGTAGGTCTGTACACTTGGTTCACTGAGAATAAAAGTATACAAAGTTAAACGCAGAAGAAGCTGAAGATAAAATGATCAGAGAGGAAGAGGATTCTGGATGGATTATCTTTATTTATGTTAAGAGACTTAAAGGCAGGATTAAAACAGGCAGTCAAAGAATGCGCATGGTTGCCAAACAAGTAAAATGGAATATCAGATCCATCTGGCAGCATATTAGGCAAATAAATAGGAAGGCTTATTAATTACTGTATTCACGTTAAACAGTCTGTAAAGAGGAACCAAATTTTATAAAATAGATAAAATGAAGGGTATGTCACTGGACAAAAAATAATGCTTCTGCATGTACTGACGTACTTTCTGAATGTACAAATTTAATAGATTATGTTCTTATTTTGCCATCATAACATTATACAGCATAGGGAGAAATATTTTCTTTCTTAAATTCTGTTTTATCACTGGGAAGATATGTCCCAGTTCTTGTATTGTGAAAACTTTTTCAGTATTTATTTTATAAAAATATTATAAAAGGTTAAGAACTTAAATATATTTTTGTTGTGTTTTCCTTTAGAGACGTCATGTGGCAGATAAAACATTACCTTATTGAACCCTCTGCCCTTGCTAAATAAAAATCAAATCATAACTCTAAAATGAACTCCACGGTAGAAAAAATACAGCAGAAAATATATTGTTCCAATACATTTTGATTATAACCAATGGCCATTCAGTGATCTACAAACAAATACAGTAGAAGGCAGGTTTATTCTATCTCCTAGTAGTGAAGAAACAACAAATACAATACCCTGCACCGCTGGAGACTGTGGCCTCTCTTTGGGATTGTGTACTGATAATACCAGTAATAGATACTTTTTATTAAAACATTCACATATCCATGCCCTGTCTGGAGTCCTATAAAAATCCTGAAGTCCTGAAGCGAAGCCATTTGCCTGAGTACCATGAGACCTTCCCGGTACTTTTTCTGCTGTCACAGCGTATCTGTGGATGTGGATTTACTGGCACCTCTGTAGACATTCTTCCAGTAACAGCCTCACAGTACCATCGCCCCCACAGGAGTTATTGAGCCAGGCAACATTTTCATCAGTGTTGGCCAGGTTTCAGGGTGACAGGAAGTTCACCTCCCCTTAAAACCATTTTGTTTTTGAAAAAGCTGCTCTTTAAATCAAATCCCATTAACAAACTTATTAGAAATCGAATAATATCTGCATAGGTTAACATGTCAAGCCTAAAGAGGGAGATTTTAGAGGAGTACAAATAATTACTGACTTGTTGCGTAATTAACCAACCCAATATTGGGTCTGGCTTAGTAACAGTGAAATGCCAAGGAGGATCAAGTTGATCAGCAAGGGCAGAAAATACAGCAGGAACAGGAGAGACTTCGTTGCTTGTATGAAGATTGTACAAATGTTACACCTAGATGTCACACAGAGGCTGACTTTTTAGACATTTTCAGTGTCTCTTCCATGGAACAGCTTGTTAGAAAGCCCACAAGAAGACAGACAGCTTTTGACTTCACCCTGAGCAGCGTTCAGGATCTGGTTTGAAACCTCCTATTTGAAAACCCATTCTGTGACAACTGCCTTAACATACTTTGATGCAGTATCATTACAGGAGCAGCAGCAGCCAAAACATTCAGCAAATTTGTCCTCAGTTTCAAAAAGAGGAACTGTGTAAAAATAAGAGAGTTTGTTCAAAAGTGACTTTAAAAGTGCAGCCAAATTAAATTTTCAGAGGCAGCAAGGAAGCTATTTTAAGATGCACATTTCAGAAACTTAAGGTCTATGTGCACTTGGATTGTTAAGGAAGGCTTGAGAATGGGCAAAGGGAGGCAGCACAGGTAAACAACAGGCTAAAGGAAGTTATTAGAAACAAGCAGCTTTCTTTTAAAAAAGATGAAGTAATACTGAAATGAAAAAAATAGAAAAACCCCACATATTCCTGCAGATTAAATGTAAGAAAACAGTTAGATTGGGTCTCCCCCAAAGGAATCGAAGCTAATAATCTTTCTTCAATCCTTAGGAACAGAAAGCCTTCCAGAGGTCTGCTGGACTAATTGATAACGATGGTATTAACAGGAGTACTCAAAGAAAACAAGGCCGTTGCAGAGAAGTTCATAAACTATTTGAGTCAGCGTTCACCAGTGGATATCCTGGAAATGGAAGGGATTTTGCAGAGAGAATGGATGAAACTGATAAAATGAGCAGTAAGAAACCACTAGGACCAGATGGAAATTGCTAACAGGTGTGTGTAACTACAGTTTTAAAAGGGTACCGATACCCGGTGTCTACAGGATGGCAAATGGGATGTCAGTTTTCAAAAAGAGTTCCATGGAAGACAGCGTGCCTGACAGGCTGGGACGGGAAGTCTGCTCTCTCTCCTTTGCAAATCAGTAGAAACTATGGTGGGCAATAGAACTAGTGGGCACCTGGATAAATATGATCTGCCTGGAAGAGTCAACATGACTTTTGCAGAGGGAAATTCTGCTTTATGAATGTACTGAATTCCCTGAAGAGTCAACCTACGTGTGGAGAAAAGTAGCTTATGAGTTGCATTTCCAAGGGGTAGCTCATCTGCTTGGAGCAGGTAAGGGAACGCATACCTGTCTGAAGCATCTGGAATATTTATTTCCAATCACACATTTCTCCCCTAAACAGCTGTTTCTCTCACCTCTTGCCAACACCTTCCTTAGATACCTTAAGACTTAGTGCCGAATAAGGGGCATCTCAATCCCTCTGTCACCTCCCTTAACTTCCTCCATTCTCAGGAATGTAACTTCTTACTTTGTTTCTGTCATGAGATGAGCAACACTGTCCTGACTCTGGAAAGTGATTTCAAGGGAGAGAGCTTTAAAGGGTAGATTTCTAGGGGGAATTGAAAGCATTTTAACCACCATAATTACAAACTCTCTGTTCCTCATGCTGTGCCTCCGTTTCTAGGTCACCCTGAAGAGGGGATACTGCCTGAATATGCAGGAATGAACCTAATCTCAAAGCCTGAAAACACCCTGCTTGCTAACGAACTCCTTAGCAGGTAAAGCAGAAGGGGTGCGTGCAGATGCCCTACCAGACTTTCTGTGACAGGAACATTTCAGAAGGAAAATGAAATGCCTCTCTCCGGAGCCTCACAGGAATTCTGCACTGCTACAGCCTTTTCTCACAGAACCAACCTAGAGCTCAAACGTACTGTTACCCCTCTTGTACTGCTATATTTCTCCTGTTCATCTGATCAGGTGTCATTTTTGCTCATGAATAGCAGTCTAAAATACCAGATCCACTATACTGCTTAAAGATCTTGTTTCTTAAAATAGCTCCATTTAATTTTTAGACCCTTTCTGTAAATTAGGAGTGCTGTGGCAATTCAGGTATCCTTTACAGCCCTCCGACCTGTGGAACCATCAAAAATTTCAGCTGTGGTAGGTCTCATTTTGTGGTTGATTTCTGCAGGGCTGCACCCCGCTATTTGCACACAGCAAAGCGATCGTTTTCTTCCATAGTGGCTGGAATAAATTTCTCAGAACTTCTAATTCATTTAATTGAGGGCCAAGGGCTGGGGAAAATGTAGCTGCTGCAACCCCTGTAGTTATTACGATCAGAAATATAATTCTAACTGATGGTGGAAAGAGACTGAGTCAGGTAAAACAGTAGAGCAAAACATCAGCAGCGTCAGGTGTTAAGGCCTCTTGGTTTTAAAATGACAGCCCTTCTATCTATGTCTTTTCCTCTCTTTGAGAGGGCTCCACCTTTCAGGATTCTGTATTTTGAGATACTATCTTCTGAGCAAATAGGAACAGACGTGATTGCTCCCCCAGAAACATAGCCTTTTAGTACACTAGCTTTAGAGCTGTTACTGACACACAAATGCTGAATGTAAGCCTGCCTCTCTGCTTTCAGACACATCCCTGCCAAGGGAAGAAGACACATCTGCGTGGCAGTTCATGTGCAGGCACGACAGCAGATAAACCCCAAAATGTTCCGTGGCCCACCGAGCAGTAGACATTTGGCTAGAGGACAGTGTGCCCAGGTGAGCCTCGCAGTGCCTTAAACTGCCGGACGGGCTTAGGCATGCAGTGTCCCATGTGCTCAGGAGGGTGGGAGCTGACAGTGTCTGGAGCTGTCCCTAAGAGACGCAGTGCCCATGCAGCCCTTGTACAGACACGTCCTTAGAGCAAAGTACAGTTCTTGACACTCCGAATTGTTGGGGAGAGTCTGTTTTGTGCCAGACAGACATGCCTCACAGTTGTGAATTTCTGTGCCTCATTTGCCCACAACCGAAGCACTCAGCTGGTAGTGTTGTATGCCCGTGCCTGCCCAGCCTGCGCACCCCGGCTGCGTTGCGTTTCCGTGCTGGGAAGAGGTCTGGCTGAGTATTACCTTCTCCTGCTCCCCGTGCTACAAGAAGGAATTCGGGGCTCGGGAGCCGAGAGGGATCTGCAGCACACTTTGACCAAGTCCCTGCTGTAGATGATGGGACCGGGTGTCCAGGGCTTGGCAATTTCCTCGTAACGTTCAAAGCTTCAGCGCATTTAAGCGTCAAACCTACCTAATCCTTCCTTGGCCGGAGAGCACCTCTCCTTTCCCTTCTCCCACGCGCCTCAAACAAGCTCTACTGGCAGGCCTGGGAAGTCGGACACGGCGGCTGAGGGTGGAGTGGGTTTCCACGTTTGCATCCTTTCACAAGAAAAAGGAGGTCTTAGACGGGCTGGGACTACCTCTGCCGACAGCTGCCTTCCCGCAGAGTTGGGACAGCGAGGGGAAGAGATGGGAAGTGCTTCTCGCTTCTCTCTTATCCCACGAACTCCTGTTTCCCCGTGCAGGGAAGGCGTCCCACCTCCGGGCTTCGTTCCCTGCTGTCCCATGCCCCCCTGCAAGGAGTCTGACCGCACCCGGGCACCGGCAGCCTCACGCTTTGGATGCGCTGACGTTCCCCACGCCAAACTGCAGCTGCCCCCTGGCCATTAGGTTTGAGAAGCAGCAGGTTTCTCTGTTGGCTACCTTTTTTTGCCTGGCGAGCCTAGATCACGGGCCGTGTCTCGGTCCAGCCTGAGTACCAAGTCAATTAAATGTGGAATCGGCAAAATAGCAAGTTAAGTGAAACAAATAAAGCGCCTGATCTGGAACACCGGACTCGTCTGCGGCCAATGGTGCATTTAAATCTGTGCTCGGGCGCCCGCAGTTTTATCC